TTCTTCGATTTCGAAAAGGCCTATGACCAGGTCAACTGGGACTTCCTACAACTAAGCATGGAAAAAATGGGAGTTGGGCCGAACTTCAGGAAATGAATAAGGGTGCTTTATGGAGATGCGAGAGGGATGGTTCAGATCAATGGTCACTTGTTAGAAAAATACAGAATGACGAGATCGGTTAGGCAAGGAGACCCGCTGGCAGCTCCAATTTTCCTGTTCGTGATGGAAGCAATTGCAGCATTCCTTCGAAAAGACCCCTCGATAGATAGATTATCAGCCAACCACGATGGTAGACCGTTAGATATCCCCTCAGTAATGCTATTTGCGGACGATCTAACAGTCCTAATCAGAGCCTCTGCTTCGTCCTTTCTCGCGCTTACAAAAGCCATGCAAGCTTTCCAACTAACCTCTGAAATGAAGATAAACTGGAACAAAACAGTAGGTTGGTGGCTGTCCCCATCCGACCCTCCGCAACCAACCCAAGAAACCCGGGGCCTACAATGGCTGGATTCTCACAGTCCGGTACACTTCTTGGGTATCCAAGTTTCAGAGAGGGGGGTTGATGAAGCTGCAGGCACCAGCCTTCTGGTTAAGATGACCAACAAGATGATGGGATGGCAAACAACCCACGTGTCGCTCATGGGGAGAGCCTTAGTGCTCAACGCCTCAATCTTATCAATGGGATGGTACACAGCCTCACTATGGAACCCACCACCAGCTTTTTTTGCCAACCTCAAAAAGAAGATCGGAGCCTATCAATGGACAGGCAAAGCGGATAAGGACAAGTACATCACCAAAGTTTCATGGAAATACGTAACGAGGCCAAAAACCCAAGGGGGTCTAGGCGTATTGAACCCAGCGTCCCAATTTCAAGCACTACAAATAAAGTGGATAATCAAAGTTATCTTCAACAGGGAGATTCCATGGCACAACATCGCGTTGCACCAGATCCGTAACCTGGTCCCCTTCAAAGTGCATCCCAGCATAGAAGGATACCATTGGCTACTCAACCCAGCACGGACCCCAACAAGAAAGGGAGGAAGGAGTTAGTTGAATGATAAGGACCCTCCCAGGGAACACTGGGCCACTCTGATAAAACACTGGAGGGGATGTTTCCCGCAAAAAATCAGAACTCCGCGAATAAGAGAAGAGGTTTTGAGACAACCCCTTTTCGGTAACCCGCTTCTGAGGGACCAGAATAACAATGTTTGGTCGTTGAACTCCAAGCGCAGACAGTGGAGAAAATGGGCGGGTAAAGGCGTATGGAAAGTGGAACATCTTTGGAAGGAAGAAGAGAACAGATGGTGCACTGCACAAGAATTGAGAACCAATCTTAAAGGAATACACAACCTGAGAAATCAACTGGAAAATTTGCTCAACAGCATCCCGCTAAAATGGGAGCTTTTGCTAAAATCTGGAACCAAATGGAGCACAGGGGAATGGGCCACAGAGAGAGGCACAAGGATACCGCACGTAAAATACAAGCTGACCAAAATGCTGGAAGCGGGGAAAGGGGAAGAGCCAAAAAACTCACCTACGTGCACAATTATGAGGTAATAGGATACAAATTACTGAATATCACCAAGGACCCTTCATTAGTAATCAACGATAGATGGAAGAAAAACGCAGGAGAAAACGCAGGTTGGGCAGGCCCAATACCATGGTCCAGGTTCGCCAGCATAAGGCCGACAAGAATTAGTAGCCTGCAATGGCTCATAATTTACTGGGCGGTACCTGTCAACCAATGGCTCGGTAAAAGAAGACGACAAGAAGACATCCAACCTATCCAACCTAAATCAGCATGGTGCAAAGTGTGTAATGAGAACATAGAAGAGTCCATGATACATTGCTTTTCACTCTGCCAACGAGCCCAAGAAATATGGGACAGAACAAAAAAGGCATGGAACAAGGTGACAACACGTTTCCGTCAGGAATAAATTACCTATTGACGGGAAGAACTGAGGACACTGACCTGGAAGAAGAGGAAATTCACTTAGCATCTGTGGAGGAGATCGACCCTGTGGGTAATATGGAAAGCAAGGTGCAAGGGCACTCTGGACAGTCAATTCCCAAGCATGGAAGAAAGATGGGAAGAAGTAAAATCCAACATACAAACAAAAATCAGAGCGCGATGGGCGAAGGAACAAAAAGAACAACAGAGGCTAACACAGCCAGAAAAGCGTGAAGTGAGACAGAAGGGGTTTGAGAAAATCTGGCTCTACGGAAACAGAATGGCAAAGATAAAGAAAGGAACTCTGCAGTTTCAGGGCTGGGTTTGACAAGACAAGGGATCCACGCACCTTCACCAAGTACCTCTTCCCGTCTCCTTTCCCTGAATAACCCTTGGAATAGCCCCACCGAACTAACATCCCTGAGCAAGCTCGGAAGGTGGAAAGGACCGAGCCTAAACGCACCAGAAAAAGTGACTCTACGGGTCAGGCGGAAGGGAGATACAGCAGAACTGTTGAAGGGCTAACTATGGTGACAGCAGAACTCTTGAAGCAACACACCTTCTGATGCAGCAGAACTTTCAAGGAGGCAGAAACCTCGAAGGGACTACTTCTGACGCAACAGAATTTTTGATGGGCCTACGGAAGAAAGACGCAGCAGGAACTTTGGATGCAGTGGAAGCTTTTGTAGGCTGGATGGGACAAGAAAGAGAAAACAGGAGGGAGAGGAGCAACGCAGAAAAGGAGGACATACAAGCAAGATCGGCTCAGAGGAAGGCTGGTTTGGAGGGCATAGGTCGAGGGTTTAGGGTTTAGGGTTTAGGGTTTAGGTGCTAGAGAAGGAAGAGAGCAGATCTATGATGGGAAGGGAYAGATATTATGAGGGAGGGGAGACCTTTTGCTTGGGTAGTATAACGGAAAAGAGGAAAACACAGGTCAGCAGGGTCAATGGACGAGCCTTTTCCAAGGAAACATAGCACTATCTGGCAGACCAGGATTCCAGGTCTGAGAGGAAAAGGAGTGTTATGGCAAGCTAACAGTTAATCCTCCACTAAGATGGAGCAATCAACGCTTTTCAGGGGTCCTCCGGCCTTACGGAAGGAAGCGTGTGGGGTTTACTTTATAATGCATCGCTTCATCTAATAACCCTCCACTAAGATGGAGCAATCAATGCTTTTTAGAGGTCGACTTCATGTGAAAGGAGGTACTCCAGGATGGGCCCTGAAGAGCTTTCAACATCGACGCGCAACAGGCAACAGCCTGCTATCTCTCATGGACCAGAAACAGTTCAATCGAGCCTAGGGTTTAGGGTTCAGGGTTGAGGTTTTTTGTTTTGACAGAAACAAGACGTACAGGGTCTAGAATGTTAGGAATTTCAGGAGGACCAGCAGAAGGTTGTGTGGGATTTGACTGAGCCGGCAGCAGCCACAGCTTCTCAGTCCTTTCTTGCTAGTCATGTTGTATCTGACAGGTTCCCCTAGTAGTCCTGAGAGGGAAGATGGAAGCAAGGCAAGCTGACAGTCAATCCTCCACGCTGCTGGAGTAATCAATGCTGATCAGGGTTCCTTCGGCCAGACGGAAGGAAGGGTAAGGGTATTCTATGATGTAATGATTTTTCCTGACTTATCGTGGAAAAGGAACCGGACTGATGCTCCCCAGAATGGAAATGGAGCCAGGGCCATAAGGACCTGTTTTTTTTTAAATAAAATAAATAAATAAATTAAAAAATCAGCGAATAAAAGAATTAGAAGCAGCAGTCAAGCGCGTGGAAACAAACCTTAGGAACAATCCACGAGCAACAACCTACGAGGAACTACTGACTACAGTCTTCACCCGAATAGAATGCCCGGTTATTATATCTGTATCGTGACTGAAAAATGCACCAAACTACTGACTACAGTCTTCACCCGAATAGAACGCCCGGTTATTATATCTGTATCACGACTGAAAAATGCACCAAATACGGCTATAATGACCGGGCGTTCTATTCGGGCGAAGATGGTAGAGCTAGAACAGAGATGACTAACTGGAATGGATGGAAGGCGAACGGGGGCCGAGACTAAAGAGCTAGAATCAAAGAATGGGAAGAAGGGGACAAAAATGACCGAGTTCTTCTTTCAAAAAATCAGAGCTAGAGGATGAAACACAGCCATACACCGGCTAAGAGGAGAAGGAGAAGAAGGGACGACTTCAAAGTTCAAACCAATGAAATGCTCTCCACAGCGGAAGCCTTCCAGGTCCTCCACATGCTCCTACCTTTACTTTGCGATGCGCATAGACTCGCCGAAACAGCTTGGCTCGCGTTTGAAACATCTCGTACACATTCTCTGCTGCAATTCACCAAACACAACATACAAGCACGCCACATTATCAGAAATACGCGGTCCACTGAAAGCTCTGAAGAGCAGCCTCACTCACAATCCCACCACGGAGCTTCAAATGTGGCAGCACGGCCCAGCAACACATTGCACATCCACACAAAAGCGCATGCTCAGGTCGTAATTGTTTTCAAGAGCACAGAGCGCTCTGAAAGTCCATTAATTTCATTTTGTTCGCCCATCCAAGCGGGCAGGTCACTAGCATCTCTCTCTCTCTCTCTCTCTCTCTCTCTCTCTCTCTCTCTCTCTCACACACACACACACACACACACACACACACACACACACACACACACACACACACACACACACACACACAGGTGTGCCAGAAATTTCCTGCAGGACATAGCTCCAGCATACTGAAGCCCATGACACAAGAGAGATAGAGGCATGTTCTTCCAGAAGCACTCAACCAAGACTCACATACTCGAGCGACCCTCTACAAATAAGTCATGCTATGTCAGGGTGCCGCACATGAGTACAATGCTGACCGTCATCATACATGTGAAAACAAAAACTTGCATGGGCTATACCCTCATAATCCTCATAGCACAAAGCATGCCCATCACACACTAGCCGAACATCGCATGGTCCATCACAGCGTGGCATTCAGCAAGTTTGTTGGGGCTCTGCAGCAGGCATTGCATTTGTATGAGCAGGTGATGAGGGGTCTGATGAATCTGATCCAAAAAAGGGTGTTTAGCTGTTGCAAGATCTGGTCTGCAACTGCTTGCCCTGGCGGCAATAACCTTTCAGTGCGACACAATGCGGCTGATTGCGGCTGGTTCATGTGAGAGTCTGTTCTCTCTACCTCAGGCTGCTGCGTCTGTTCCTCATATGGCAAGGATGGAGGTCCAATTACAGGTGCAGCCGGAGGCCATCCAACGCCGTGTGTGGAACCTGAGTGGAGAGGAGATAGCAGGTGATGTCATTAGGGATAGTCCATGCAGTAGAGGCACATACTCTCGATGAGAGCTTCCTGGAAACATTGACAACACTCGACATGCTACTGGAATGCCAGAAGAGAGGCAGGCTCACAATCGCAGTTATTCATGCACGGCATGTCGAGACAACCGGTCAAAGTTTTCCCGGCAGAGTTCGGTAGTGACCATCCCTTGATAGTGCTCAGAGCAGAGATTATGCTGTGCACATGCTAACCGGACTGCGCCTGTATGGAAACGCGATGGCGTGGCGCAGCCACTGTCCTGTGAAGGAGCACACTCAACATCAGTGGCAGAGGCTGTCAGATCTGCACAGGCAAGGAGTGCAGCATGGCCAGGTAGAGGGGTGGGGGAAAGTTTCGTCCGACCCAGAGGCTGTGCGTGTTTTTAATTTTCACCACAACAGCGCCTATTCCACCCAGATGAGTAGATCCAAAATCGAAGCAGCTTTAGTCCTATTGCAGACAACGAAAACGCTGAAGTCAATCTAACAATGTAACAGTTCTATCTCTATAGCAAGCAACATGGAGCATAATAGAAGCATTTACATCCCTTTCTTGACTGTATTGAATTTGTATTCACTTTGGCTTTCTTTTGGGTGCCCCTTTCATTTGTTCTTGCAGCTCCCCTTCTTATTTCTTAATTTCATTATTGATTAAATTCATAAATTATTTTTCATCAATTAATTGATCATGAAAAATTTGCATTATTTGACATTATAAACCCCTTTCATATCTCACGAGTTAATGTCAGCTTATCCATACTATTAGGTAATAATATATATAAATATGTATATAAATATAACTTTTAGGTTTAAAATCTTTTCATTCTTTATCATTACTGCTGAGTCTCTCATGTAGGCTCGCCATGTTGATTGTAGTTGAACTCGAGCTGCCCACATCTCTGTGTGCCATAATGGCCCACTTGCACATTATAGGCTGTGTGTGTGTGTGTGTGTGTGTGTGTGTGTGTGTGTGTGTGTGTGTGTGTGTG